AAAATAAAAATTCTTACAAATTTTATCAAACATACTTTTAATATATGTTAATCGTACGTAATCTCGATGTGTCATACAAATTCTTCATTGAAGTCATCAAGAACGGTTTGATTTAAACTAATACATCTTAAATCAATTCAAAAGGAGATATCCTTGGAGCCAACATGGGTCAAAAAGCGACTCTCTCTATATTATGTGTTGCACAACATCTGTCTTCAAGGATTGAGGCTTCTAGTTTTTATTTTTATTTTATTTTGTTTCTGTGGATTAATTGCATCCCAATTCTGATCTTGTTTTTGGTAGACATTGACTCAGTTTACTCCATAAGGAATTAGCGGCCATTTTCTTCCACATGTTATGAGTATTTATTCAACCCATAACTTGAAGAGTGACGCCATCCTGGGGTGCTCCCTACCTGAAATTTCTATTTTGGGGTAAAAACGATTCTTGTCAACGACATTATAGCTTCTTTGGCCTGAGTGTTCTATTTTGGGACCATAATAACGCACTTCTTGATTATGTTAAATTGAAAATTATATCCGGTATTAATCTTCATTTACGGTCAAAAGAATCTGTGGGCACACCTGTTTTGTCTCTGCTTTCAAACTCAAAAGGATTAGAAATTTTTATAATATACTTTTACTAATTTTATCTAATATATTATATATTTTTAATACAATAAAAGATGAAAAAACCTAGTATCATGGCACAGCATGCCATTGGCAATGAAACCTGATCAGCTATTTACCTGTACCTTTCAATTTGCTTGGTCTGTAGGACTCTGAGCTTTAGCTAGTTGATATTTACTAATTAATTAAAAAATTGATTTAAGGCCATATAGTATGAAATTTTAAATTTGCAATGCTTGGTGAAACAAAAAGGGAGGAAAAAAAAACTACCATATTATGCAATCAACCCCAATGTACAAAAAGAAAAATGTAATTTTAATTCAAGTAATGCACAACCGGATTGGGCAACACACTTTCAAAACAGAAGTAGTTAAAATCACTAAAGAGAAAGGCTCCAAAAGAGTGCTTTATTATGTTTATATATAGGAAGAAGCCATTAACTTTTAAAGGCAAATCAACAATTGTTATATTTAGGTGAAGAGAAATTTAAAAAAAGTAAAATTATATATTATTATATAATTTATTATTTGATATATCAAATAATCTTAGTTACATTTGGTACAGTTTTCCATGGCAATGGTACAAAAGATGACTACTTATAAAATCAGTGAACTTGAGGAATCGAAATCAGTGTCGGCATCGGCAGGTAGTCTTGGAGGAAATGACAAGAAAGACTTGGGTGGAATTTCTAAAGAATCGAGGTTCTCCTGCAACATCTCAACCACCCTGTACATTGGCGGCCGGTTTGAGGGGAGAGTTTGTATGCACCACAAACCTGCTATTATCATCTTCCTAGTTCTTTCCTTATCATTCTCGTTCATGCTGCTCCAAAATCCAAGTTCTTTGTCCAATTCAATACGTCTGTATATCCACTGTGGGAAATGTTCACTATTATGATTGAATTCAGCATTGATATTTTTTCGCGCACCAACCATATCTAGTATCATCATGCCATAACTATAGACATCGGACTTATGGGACACCCTTTCAATATTTCTACAAAATACTTCTAGAGCAATATGTCCAATAGTTCCCCATACACCTGTCATTGAAACAATACTCTCTTTTCTGGGGCACAATTTGGCAAGCCCTAAATCAGATATCTTGGGGCAGAAGTCATTATCTGAAAGAATGTTATGAGGCTTGATGTCAAAATGCAAAATGCACATGTACATGTTAACATCTGCAATGCAAGTACTCTAGTCCTCTAGCTATCCCAGTTGCAATCTGATACAGCGTTTCCCATTTCAAATGTTGATCAGCATTCAAAGCACTTTCTTCATGAATCAACTTCTCCAATGAACCATTTGGCACAAACTCGTGTATCAGAACTCGTATATGGCCCTTGAAGCAGAAACCCAAAAGGGTCACTATGTTAACATGGGAAGTCCGGCTAATGCTTGCTACCTCATTGGTAAATGCTTCCCCATTGTCCTTTGATTTTTTTCAAGACCTTCACTGCAACCTCACTACCATCTGATAGCTTACCTTTGTAAACATATCCAAAGCCTCCTTCACCTAATTTATCTCTGAAGTTGTTTGTCATTTTAGTAACATCTTTAAAACTATACCTTTTCAGAGCCAAACGCATATTGTCTCTAAGGAAAGCTTCAATATTCTCAAAATCATCTTCCTTCATTAACCCAGAAAATATTCCGTTCCCTGTTGAGAATTTCTTTCTGAAGTAGAATGCTAGAATGATCAATCCTCCAATTCCAACAGCTGAAGTGCCTGCACTCAAAATAAAGGCCCATAAGATACACAGAAGCAAGTGAATGAGGACGGTGTGTTGCTTTCTTAGAATTTCCCAATTGAGAAGTATAGATTAATTACTTGACGCTTGACAGGGATGCTCAACCATGTAAAAACTTTGTTAGTTTAATTTGGATAAAATTTGAATTCATTTAACCCCACAAAAGAAACTCTTTTTCATTAGTTCAGTTTCGATCTTCCTAAAAGCTCAAGTGACTGGTCCGAACTAATTTTGTGAAAGAAAGCATATTCTTTAAACCAAATAACACTCCTTGCAGCCACCAGCTCACTACCTCGTCACCCAAGAAACCATTTCAAATTTGATTTAGAAACAGAAATCAAAGAGGAAAAGCAATTGCTCAAAATACCAGGCTATTATTGATTTAATTGGCGTAATGACTACATTACCTGCTGCAACTTTTATTACGAGGCCTTTGCCACGTCCTGCAACAGAAACAGTAAGATAAAAAATATAGTTATCAGATAAGATCATTGACTTACTTTACTATGATCCAAGAAAACAATGTTTAAATTAGGCCTTCATAGCATTCTATATACACTTCTGTTCTGTAATTCTACCCGAAATAGTTTTGGGTGATACAATTGCGAATTATTTGATTAGAGATTGAAACCTGTAAGTTTTGCCAATTCTGGGAAAGTGAATGGATCAAGCATCCAAAATCTTATACCTACAACTCATCAAACTTCGTAATTTTTTCATCTATCTCGTAAGTATGATTCTCATCCCCAATTCACAGAATAAGCCAGTTAACTAGTTAAGTTTGTTTATGTTTTAGATATGTTTTATTGGTAGCAGTAATGAGCATAATCAATTTCTTTTGAGTTATAAGAAGTGACTTACTATCTAGAACCACATTTGTAAATAAGGCTGTAGCATAGAACAGAAACAACGGACTTAAACGCGGTACACCCACGCCCCTGCCACTCTCCTGAATAAGAAACTGCAGCTGATCGCCAACAAATTCAACAGAAACCCTGAATTTAGCATTTTCTCAACATCACTGCACTATCCTTCATACAAATCCACAAGCACCACACCCTATTTCTACTTCTTTGAGGGGTTGAAGCATTGCCCAGGACAGGATGATCCTCAAACAGTGCCAATAACAAACCCGCTTTATTTTCATCACTACAGTCAGCCTTATACTGTGAAAGATCCTTCGCTCCTTTATATTCACAAGTGATTTTCCAATGATACAATTAAATTTTAAATGCAAATAATACTTTAGCATCTTCTCAAGTTTTTCCTGTTAGAAAAGCAGTGAGCTTGAATACCATCTGAGCATCCAAATTTCAAACTAAAACTAAATCACATTATAAAAAAATTAGATAAGAAAAACACTCAAAATCATGCTCCTTCGTTAAAGCACCACGAGAAAGATCAAAACAAACTTATTTTAATTTAAAAATAAATTATTTTAATCTTATTTAATTTTTTTAATAAAAATTTATTAAAATAATTTTTTTCTTAATTTTTTAGAAGTCTCATTAAAAAATACTTCTTTTTTTTTTTTTTTTTTTTTTTTTAATTAATGTTTTTTTTTTTTTAAGCGATGCATTTTGGGATTCTACCGTTTAATACTTACACTAACAATTTACAAATGAAATTAGAGCTATATATTTATAATAATGAAATATTGAAAAGAAAGGCTTCAAGGTAATCTTAAGAGATGAAGACAGCATATGCACCTTTAGGAACACAGAGCCAAGCATGAGGCCTATCAGGGCAGAAACATTTGAAATAGTAGTGCTATTATCGAACCCACATATCCCACCATAGGCCTCGCAAATGCTGCAATTACTTGCCATCCATTCCATCACAAACCCTCTTCTCAGCATATCCTCAACACCACCTTCTCCGCCCACATCCACTGGTGCCGCCACCGCTTCCCGACAGTTCTCTGGGGCATTTCCCAGAACATGGTTGTCACCAAACAGAGCCAGAACAGAATCATCCTTATTGTGCCCATCACAATTCACCTTATGTTGTGAGAGTTCCTTGGTATCGGTCAAGGTACATCCAAAAAGCAAAACCAGTTCCCTCTGGTTTGCGGCCAGCTTTAAGCTGTCGCAAGGACTGGATGTGTTCTTGATCGGAGGAATGCAAGTACTTTCCCCTGCATCTAAAACAACTGAATTCGACACGCGAAGAGATTGGTTCTGATAGAAGATTTCTTGGATTGTGAAGTCAGTGTTCTTTGGAAGGGTGAGAATCGGAGTTGTGTTATTTCGGTAGGAGAGCTTGAATCCAGGGTATCCACAGAAGGGTTCTTGTTGGCCTGGGATGTAGAATGGGAACTTTATCTTTTGTCTGCCACAGGTTGTGGAGACACTGCAGGCTGTGTAATGAAAATCCACAGCTAAAATCTTTCTTTCTAAGCAAACCAAGGTGAAGATGAAGAGGTTTATCAATGGAGAGAGAGACTGGAGGAGGCTAATAAAATGGTTTCGGTTCATTTGGGGATTTGATATTGTGGGGAAGATGGTGAAGACTGGAGATGAAGCTCAGTATTAGAAAGAAAACTAAAATGGCGGAGCCGCAGGGGAAACAGTGATGGGGTTGTTAAAAATCAGTGGGAAAACTTGCATCTAAAATTAATTAATATAAATAAAATAATTCTTTTATATATAATTTTCATATTTTATATTTTTATTATATTTTTGCGATGAGATTTTCCGCTGAACAGCGGTTGTGGCTCGACTTGAGAAAGGAATGGAATCTTGTCCTCGTCACTTGGGCTGTTGAATTTATGGCAACAGCAATTGGGCTGATGTGGACATACTATTTTGAAAGTTGCCCAACTTCACCAAACTTTAATT